TGGTGGTGATGAAGGCCAGAAGGCCTAGCGAGCTGAGATCACGAAGGAGAGAGACGAGCAGGGAGCAGAGGATGCTGTCTGGTTTGAAAAGGGAAATGCTGTAAATCAAAATAAATCAAACAGACTTCAGCTTACCAGTATTGAGCCCGCACCTTCGGGCGACCAAAACGATGACCCCCAAAATCGTAGTAAGAAAGCAGTTGACAATGACACTAGTGCTGACAGTGCCGGAGCAGGCGACGAGAGCACCCTGCCAGGTGATGCGACGGCGAGACTCCTCTCGCAGGGCGGAAAAGCCAATCGACACGAGGGCGGTGATCAGACTGAGCACCGCCGCCTGACAGTTGACCACCTTCAGGTTGCCCAGCAGGACGGACTTCAGGTCAGTCCACCTGCTGCGGTCCAGTGCCCCCTGATTCGCCTCCTCGGTCAGTCGACCGGAAAGTGCGCCCTTGATGCTGCTGAGTGTGCCCAGAAGGGGTGAAATGGCGGCCACCAGGTGAGGCATCTCTCGGAAGACCTCCCAATTGCTCAGCAGACTGTTCAGCAGCAAACCGGCGCCCACCTGACTGAGGCCGCCGAAGATGAAGGGGATGAGCACCTTTCGAAGGAGTGACAGCGCCGATCGAATGGGATTGTACACTAGATCGCCGATGATGTCGGGCAACTGTTGAACTGGTTGAGCTCCTCCTCCTCCTCCTCTGCCGGTGTTTTGTATCACTTCTTCGTTAGCTTCCGACTGTGACCTTTCTCTTTGCATTTCAGCAAGCTCAATCACCTCAACTGTTTGCGGTTTTTCTTCCTTTTCTTTTTTCGCATGTTTATGACGTTTACGACGATGACCGAGATTTCTTGATGAGAGATGAAAGACCCGAACACGGTGTTTTTGTGGATCAGAGTCATTATCATCGTTGCTGTACTCGTCTTCATTTGGTGACACCATTCTTCATGTATCATACTACTGACTGATTTAAAATTTGCAAAAATCATCACAGAGCAAAACTGGCTACCAAAGTACTAAAAATGCAAACTGGTGCGCCGTTACATTTGGTTCAGCAGCAGCCAACAATAGCAATAAAAACCGCCCTCAAACTCAACTAGACAAAGAGGGAAGAGCCCCCAAAAAGTATCCCTGCGTGTTTACTTTTCCACTTTTCTATCATCAGCATAGACGTCGTCANGACTGATTTAAAATTTGCAAAAATCATCACAGAGCAAAACTGGCTACCAAAGTACTAAAAATGCAAACTGGTGCGCCGTTACATTTGGTTCAGCAGCAGCCAACAATAGCAATAAAAACCGCCCTCAAACTCAACTAGACAAAGAGGGAAGAGCCCCCAAAAAGTATCCCTGCGTGTTTACTTTTCCACTTTTCTATCATCAGCATAGACGTCGTCATCGTTGTCATAGGATCATCATCCACTTATCACCTGCACTGGACTGATGACCTACCAGACAACAATGACACTCAAGCACACGTGAGTTGTAGTAGTAAAGGTATCTCTACATCAGGTGCTGATCTACTACATCGACTGACTGTTTTAGCTCAGATTGAGAAAGTGCGCCATAATCTGGTTGACCTTCTCCGGTTGCTCAATCATAATCCAGTGGGAGCATCGCTCCACTAGCTGGACACTGCCGTCGGCGCACAGTGCCGCCAAGTCAGCGGCTAGCTCGGTAATCAGAAACTCATCTTCGGTGCCCCAAATGACCAACGTCTTTGGCTCAATCTTCCGTTTGGCCAGTTCAACAGCGGCCTTGCGCGTCTTCCCAGAGCCGTAGCCTCGGAGAGAGGCTCGGTAGAAGTTGAGCGGCCCCGTCAGTCCGTACGGCATTGAGAAGTAGTACTTGTAGGCGTCCATGTCCTCGGGGTTGTTGAAGCGGCCGTAGAGGTAGTCGAGACCAGCGTAGTCGACGCGGCTAAAGAACAGCTCCGGCAGAAGCGGACAGTTGAAGAAGAACATGTACCAGGAGGAGAGGAACTGTCGCCAGGTGGTGGCAATGCGAGCCGCCCACACGGCAGGATGCGGCGAGTTGAGGACGATGAAGCGGTCGACGAGGTCGGGGCGTGCCTGTGCCACCGTCCAGGCGATGATGCCGCCCCAGTCGTGAGCGACCAGCACTGCACCTCGTCTGCTCTTTTGTTGGCCGGCTGATTTGGCAATCAAAATCTCCAGCAGCTCGACAATGTCAGCGACGAGCAGATCAGAAGAGTAGTGCTGAACTCCTGTTTTCAAAAAATAAAGATGATCACTGTTTTACCGCAGTAATTTAGAGCACTCACCCTCAGGCTTATCCGACTCTCCGTAGCCGCGCATGTTCACGCTCACCACCCGGTACCGGTCCTTGAAGGCGTCCATCTGGTGGCGCCAGCTGTACCAGCACTCGGGAAAGCCGTGCACGAAGAGCATCACCTGCTGACCTCCTCGTTCAGCTCCCGCAGTGACGCAGTGCAGTTTGATCTTTTGCTTCGGCAGGACGATAAACTCATGGGTGCCGTGCTGGTCGAGCACCGGTGGGCGATTCTTTGCACCAGTGCGGTCCTTGGCGGAGAAGAAGGCGCCGCGGTAGATGAGCAGGTCGAGGAACAGTTTCAGCGCGGCACAGCTGCCGTAGAGCAGGGATAGACAGAGGGAAAGGAGGACGCCCAGTTTGGTGCCCAGTGGACAGAGGAAGAAGGGCATTGGGAGAGCCATTATGTACCTGAAAAATAAAGACTACAAAACAGACGATTCACCNGCACAGCTGCCGTAGAGCAGGGATAGACAGAGGGAAAGGAGGACGCCCAGTTTGGTGCCCAGTGAACAGAGGAAGAAGGGCGTCGAGAGGGCCATTTTGTTGTACCTGAAGAAGAAAAACTACAAAACAGACGATTCACTCTCAATTTTTGACAACTCAAGTTGGTGCGTGCACAGTGTGTTGGTGGTGATGGCTGAAGGACATCAAAGTGATTAGATTGGAAGAAAGAGAAAGCGAGAGGCAGAGGAAGACACACAATCAGAGTGGCTGCAAAGTGCATTGTTGTTGTTGCTTTTCTTTCTCTCTCCTCCACTCACTGCACTGCTAAATTGAATAAACCCGATTGATGAGGGAAGGAGAGAGAGAGAGAAAAAAATCGACGCTAAACTGTCTGCTGCAGCAATCATCATCGGCAGGGCAAAAATCGGCGGAGAATCTTTTCTCTCCTGTTCTCTGCTCTTTTGTAGGCCAGTTCAGCGAGCAAGAGAAAAGTGGCCAGTGCGAGCGTGCCCACCGCCCAGACGGTCACCAGTGAACGGTAGTCTTCCAGGCTGATGGCCATAAAGTCGGCTAGTTTGCGTTTTTGATGGTAGTGGGGGTTGGCGTGGAAACTCGCCGCATGAACACGAGGACGACCACTTAGAGACGTCATCCGCCTGGAGGCTCTCCTCACCGTGCACTGCAGCAAGTTCTCCATGATTCCCATCTCTCGAAAGCGGACGATTCTGTGGCGGATAAAAAAACAAGTGATCAAGTAAAAGACAAAAACCAATCAAAAAAAATTACACCAAATTAAAGGACTCAGTCAGCGGAGACCGCTTTCGAACTGCCCAGCTCAGGAAAACCACCTCCAGCGGCTCGGTGGCGATGTGCACCGGCGTGCTGGCGTAGAGAAACCGCCGCGTGAGAAGGTTTATTCGGAAGCTGAGCAGGACAATACGCCAGCTGCTCTCCAGAATTGGCATGATCTCCTCTTGGTTGGCGAAGACCAGCGGTTGACGGCGGGCAAAGTGGCCAGCCAGTCGATAGTAGATACCATCTTCAGGTCCCTGAGAGTGCATCGTCGAGTGGGCAATGTAGCCGTGGGAGAGGTAGGACATCTGGTACTGATCATGGCGAGTGTCCTTGTCCGCTCGAACACGGTCTGCCTCGATCAGCCCCCCCCAGATCGGCAATGGTGTCCAGCGGCTGGCTGAACTGCGGCACCGTGATGATCGAGTAGAAGAAGGAGCAGTAGAGGTTGGCGAAGAAGAAGGCGGCGAGGATCCAGGAGATGTAGAGGTAGCGGGTGGAAATGACGTCCGCCTTGTTGATGGAGCTACTGGCTGCAAAGACAAAACAAAACAAAACAAAGTCGTTTGAGTAAACAAAAGAAGCAAACGCTTACGTTGTTTTAAAAAGATTCCCAACAGCTGCAGTGGAACGTTTTCTCTTCTTTTAGTCTTGTTCTTGAACTGCTGCTGCTGCTGCATTGAAGATCTATCAAAGACTGCGTTAAAGCTGCAAATGAGACAAATAAAAAGGAGATAAGTTAGGGCTAGTAAAGCCCGCACTTCAGGGGTGATCTTGTCGGAGTAGAGCTCCAGCTGGTGCTTCCGCATCAGGTGACTTTGCGAGGCAAAGACCACCTGGTCGAGGAAGATAAAGTCGGTAAAGTCGACCAGTTTCAGGCGGCCCTTGTTCTTCGCTATCTCGCAGATGCCAAACTCAGTGATACCACTGTGGACTGTCTCCACGAGGCCGTTCCAGTTGCTCTTCTCGTCGTGCAGACGGACGGTGAAGTTGTACTTTTGCATCATCACCTCCAGCAGTTGAAGTTCAACGGTAAAGTGCGCTTTCAAAGTCGTCTGCCCATCGTTGTTCCTCTCCACTTCAAAAGAGCAGAATGGAAAGTCCTGGAAAAGAACAACGAGTTCTACAACTTTAGCCTCACAAAACAATCCTAACATACGTTGTTCACTGAAACATTAATTGTCTTTTGATGAAGATTGCACCTCTCAGCGGATGTCCTCAGTTGACGAAAGTGTTTTCTATTGGTGGGCATAAAAACCTTCTTTCTAAAGTCGCACCCATTAAGCACTGGGTTGATGTGAATTGACTGACTTGACTCAGTGGAGAGTACGACTGCCTGAAAGTACTGGTCAATGCCCTCATGATGGTGATGAGCACTTTTAGTCCACTTTACCAGTACGCGCACTTGCAGGCTAAAAAGAAGCAAAAATGGAAAGCATCGTTTGCAGCGAGAGTGCAGGTGAGAAAGCAAAACTAAAGCTGATTTGAGCTGTGACTGGTGGTCAAAACGGAAGTTTGCAAAGTTGAAGAACAGCTGTTTCTTTTGGTACTTTAGCTGACGATTACGAACTGTCGCATTTTGCAGACTGTCCACTGAGCTAGTGCTGTTTGTGATGTGCATCTCCAGACAAGAGATTTTATTTTGGTAGCTTGACTGAGTAGCTGAAACTAACGACAAATTCAGTTGCAGGTCAGTTTCAATCAAAATAAACTCCATTTTAGGAGTTTTCATTCTGCAAAACTGCTCTAAATAACGGTCAAGTGTCATGTCACCGTAAAATTGAGCAAGATGGCCCAAGCGAATAAAAGGAGCTATCGTGATAAATATTTCCAAGAAGTAAAATGAGATTTTCATTTTTTATTTTTTAGCATTGAAACTTATTTTACAAAAAGTAACAGTTCTGACATGAGTAAAAAAGTAGAGTAAACTTGATCTTTTATTTTCACTACGGAAATAACATACTGGTTAACGACGCAAAACACTTTGTAAATTAAATGCACCGGCGCTAAAAATCATTAAAATTGAAACAAAAATGAACTCAAGCTAGAAAGTGTACAGTTGTACTATTTTTAAGTGCACAAATATTGATTAAGTTTTTATTTTTTAAAGTTTTGTACAATTTTTTTTACTATTTTTTGCATAAAGTTACCAGTTTGTACATTTTTTAATGGATTTGTGCAGCATGTATTTTTATTTTCGAAGCATCTCGAAAAATC